TACGCATGATTTGATATCTTTGTAATTCTCTTCGAACTATTGGTTTATTTTGGCCAACTAGATTGTTTTTTCTTGTAATGGGAGAAGTGCTTAGCTTTGGGTTCAATCTTGCGGTGTCCTTTCCAGTGATAGTAGGGGTAGCAAGGCACGCATTGTATTGTTGCCATTGAGAATAAAAAGATGGGGTTTTCATCATATTGTTTGAGTTAATTCCTCTACATCATGTCATCTTGCTTAATGTGTTATTTAGTTCTTTATGAACTTAATACTCTAGATGCATGCTGGATAGCAGTCGATGTGTGGAGTAATAGTAGTAGATAGAGAATCGTTTCGGTTTACTTGACACGGATGTGATGCCTATATTCATGATCATTGCCTTAGATATCGTCATAACTTTGCGATTTTCCATCAATTGCTCGACAATAATTTGTTCACCCACCGTATTATTTGCTATCATAAGAGAAGCCTCTAGTGAAACCTATGGCCCCCGGGTCTATTTTCCATCATATAAGTTCTATTTTCCATAATATTAGTTTTCGATTTACTATCTTGCAACCTTTTACTTTTTGATCTATAAACCAAGAATACCAAAAATATTTACTTTATCGTTTATCTATCTCTATCAAATCTCACTTATGCAAGTAACCGTGAAGGGATTGACAACCCCTTTATCGCATTGGGTGCAAGTTGTTGTTTGTTTGTGCAGGTATTCCGTGACTTGTGTGTTGTCTCCTACTAGATTGATACATTGGTTCTCAAACTGAGGGAAATACTTATCTCTACTTTGCTGCATCACCCTTTCCTCTTCAAGGGAAAAACCAACGCAAGCTCAAGAAGTAGCAGACGTCGACATGCGGGTCTGCCTAACCCATCGCACGCGGGATAATGCACAGGGCCTCGCTCGCGGGCACACCCAAAGCCACCCATGACTGTGACCCTGGGCGCGCCCACGGTCCACCCGACATGGACTGACGAGGCAGTGGCCCAGGTGCGCATCGTCCGGGCAGATCGAACACCACGGAGATTCCCCGATAGGCCCCCGCGGCACGCCACCTAGAACGAACGACGGCCCCCAGGAGACGGGTACTCCCATATTTCTTTTATAGGAGTAATGTTATTTACTTTCAAGTCGTTATTATTGGCGCTGCAACTATCAACTCTTTCCACCACTCTCCTACATTTGTTTCACGAGACAGAAAAATCATTTGCAGATTTTCAGACAATTACTTCGCACAAGACTATCAAGACCGGTGACAACTTGTGTGTGATCGAAACGACACTCACCATACTCTCCTCTACTCTTTGTTGGGAACTATAACTATCGGGATACTTACATGAAGGTGCTACACTACCCTATATGTCTTGCATGCCATCACACACAACCATGATCTGTCATCTTGAGGTCTCGGGTAGCACATCACATCACATGTGTTCTTCCTCAGCCCAGTGCATTATTCACTGTAGATTCAAGCGAATCTCTAGCTTTTATTACCATCACATGAAACGACAACATTGAAACGATATTGAAACCAGGGCCTCACTGTAACATTATAGCCATATCTCCACCAAAAGTGCAAGCCCACCACTTCGTCCCCGCAATTAGTTGTTTGACCATGCCGGGATCCCATACTCCAACGCAATTTATTCACCCCCGCTTCTTTTTTGGTTTTTGACAGAAAGACCACCGTTGAGTTCTAGGAACATATCTAGTCTGTAGTTCACCCACTATCGAGTCCAACCCAAGTCCCCGACAATTCCAGGCCAAGATGTTCATTGGTCTTAGCGGGCCTGAGCAGCAGGGCCCGCCACTTGATCATTAGGTTCTGAGATCCCGTCAAAAAACCGATGGAGTTAAGAATCCTTATCACTTTCTTGCCCATAAAATTATCAACCAGTGTCATCCTGTCCTCCCCTTTAGCCACCCATATTTACTTCGATCTCTTTTTCGTAGCCGAAGGACTCCTCTGTCGATCCTTAGTCTCCGAATGAAGGCGTTAGGACTTAGGATGCATCTGATGACCAACACGCCTCAAGCTCCGACCATGCCTGCTTGCTCTCCTTTCAGGTGATCTTTTTGCACGCCCCTTCCTCGAGTGAGGTCTAGTTGGGTTGGTAACTTCCTCGTGTCTCACATTCCTCCTCACTTCCATACAAGGCTCCTCAACATTGATGTGCTCTTGAGACAAATTGCTACGTGGCGGTAGGTCTCTGACATGGGTTGTCCACGTTGACCATGCCCCCCCCCAACTCGAGCAAGAGCTCCCATGACTCATATTACTTGACGACATAGACGCCGTCGCGATCGTATCCTTAGACCCTTGTCCCAGCCGGGAGACACCCTTATCCGCTCGCCCCATTGCAGTTCAGAATCTTCATGTGGGTCACACCCTTCCTCTCCATAAACCAGCCTCCCACAACCAAAGCAAGAATGCGATATTTCTCATATTGGAACTCTTACCCAATTCCCTCTTTGTCTTCCAGTGAAGATCGAGGAAAGAAACTTCTTGCCAAAGGCTCGAATAAAGAGAATTTTGCACAAACTTTGGAATATTTCCCTCTTGTCCATCCCTCCTTATCCACGTCCACACATATTGCCTCCCCCCCAACCAGTCGCCCAATGCCTTACCAAACACTTCACATCTTTTTATCTGGGGGATCCTTGACCCTTACTCAAACATCAATACTACCAAAGGGCATCTTCGATGGCCGAATGTCTCCCACATAATCTCTCAGAACCATGCCACTGAAATCAAACTGCCATGAACCATTATTCATTGTGTGTTTTCAATTGCGTTCACTTCCAAATCTGACCATGAAAACATTGTTGCGCAACGCGCAGAAACGAGTTGTGTGGTGAAGGCCCCACGTTCTTTGCATGGCTCTCTCAAATGCATTGATGTTCAACGGCCTGGACGAGAACACCTTCCCTATCGCCGTCCACGGTCCACCTGGGACTACGATGATAAGGATTAAATGTTTCCAAGTTTGCACTGAATGGAGGTTTTCGCCTGATAAATCACCCTACTTTTTTCCTACTTCGAGTGAAACCTAGAGAGGCTTCTTCGGAGCAGCGCAGCGAGGAAGGTCAGCCGTCGGATCAAGCTCGGCCAGTGCCACCCGTCCATTTGCATCTCTCGCCCCGAGGCCCCGAGCATTCCGCCCCCTGTCATCCACCACCCCCACCGGATTCCATCTCCCTCCTGTTTATTTCTCCTTCCCCTTTCCGCACCCCACCCCACCCCAATCCAAAACCAAAACCCTCGCAAAACC